GATTGAGGTTGTTAGCTATTACAGCTTGCTCAGATCCACAATCAACACTCTTAACACGAGAAGTCAGGAAACCAAAAGACAAATTGCAATGGGAAAATCTGCTGTCAGGGACCTCTCCAGAGTACTAAAGAGTAATGATGTCAGTCTAGAGACAAGGGTGCGCCTGATCCAGGCCACGGTCTTCTCAATTACTTGTTAGGCTTCAGAGAGTTGGACAATGACTAAGGATGACAGAAGAAGAATAGAAGAATAGATGCCTACAAGTTGTGGTGCTGGAGAAGAGTCTTGACTGGACTGTCAATAAAACAAATAGGTCTGTTTTGGAGAGGGTGAAATCAAGTCTCTCCTTGGAGGCTAGGATTTTGAAGCTCTGTCTCACTTACTTTGGGCACATGGCCAGGAGAGATCAGTCCTTGGTGAAGGACATCATGCTCAGAAGAGTGGACAGACAGCGCAGGAGAGGGAGACCCCAGATGAGATGGATTGATACAATGACTGGGGTGAGGTGGTTGGTGTGTCAGAATTAGTGAGACCGGCTCAGGACAGGGACGGGTTCAGAGCTGCTGTACACAGGGTCACTATACAGGGTCACTATACATCACAGGCAACTCAACCAGTAACATTCTATGACAGGTTCAGAAGCAGGAGTGGCATCCACTTCCTAAACAACATGCCTCCGGAAATTCTATGAACTTTGATAAATGTCGACGGTTGTAGAGGGGCTTCAGGCCTTTTGTTCACAGGGTCAGTATGAGTCGTACTTGACTTGAAGGCAATCAACAACAACAGCAGCAACAACAATATAGTCTGCCTATAAATGAAAATGGTGTGCACAGACACTTTATCAAGCGATTGTACTGGAAGATTTATGAAAGCATGTGAAATTGCACCTAAAGTTGTTTTATTAGTGACTATAAGCAGTAACAGTAAATTTATTGTAGTTGATGAATAAATGTACTTAATCTAGTCTCAGTTATTTTGGTCTAATAACGTTTTCATTTTTTTAAAAAGTTATATTTGTAATTTGTACTATTGAGGGGGGTTGACTGCAGGGGTTACTGTCGATGTATGATTTGCATTGTATTTTATAGAATCATCTAAAATGGTATATTGATTTTTATAACTTAAGTGATATTTAGGTATTCTAATAACTGTATATTTGACAAACTACTAAAATGTTTTACATTAGGGGAAAAAAACACAACACAAAGCTGGAGAGAAGTCTGGCCACAAATAAGCCACACAATGAAAAGATGGAGACTTACAGAACTACTCCAAAGCTTGATTTTCAAGGTTGGAACATGATTTTAAACAGGTGTCAGAACTCACCGAACCATACACCAAAACAGTCAATTTTAGGGTATTCAACGTTGTTGTTAGGGACCATCAAGGTCAACTACCGTTCACAAAACGCTGTGAGTCACGGATTTGAGCTTCACCCTACCCACCTTCTTTACTATCTGTTACAGTCACTACGTCAATCCATCTAGTTTCTCTCTTTCTCCGACCCTCCACCTTTCCCAACATGATGTCTTTTTCCAAGGACCAGCCTCTCCTAAAAACCTGCCTAAAGTACAGGAGGCGAAGTTTCACAAATAAATTCCTTAAACATGTATTTTAGGGAGCTCTGGTGGCCTAGTGGCAAGAAGCTCAACTACAATCCCAGAAGTGTGTGGTTCGAATCCACCAGATGCTCTGCTGGAGGAGGAGGGACAATCTCCTCCTGTACCAGTCAGATCCAATTTGAGAGTATACACATACAAAATAATAAAATGAAATTAGAAAAAAAAAAAACCAAACCAAAAACAAACATGTATTTTAAATTCATGAAGGAAAAATTACTTTCAAAGACATTGCTTTCATTCTCATCCCTGTACCAAAAAGTAAGTAAATATTATTACTCCTGTGATTGAAGTGAGAAAAGGGAAGTAAATTAAATAAATGAGCATACATATTACACATGACAAGATCGGAACTATGGTGTAGATCCATGGACTCTATACCACATGCTTTACGCTTTGTCCTCCCACATCCCACGAGCTTTCATGTGTGACAATGACCCAAAAGCCAAATGGTATGTTAAGGGGATGGGAGGCCAAAAATAAAAAAGCCCTATGTGTGTCATTCAGAATGAATCAGCTGCCCTGAAGCAGACCATAAGTGGGTTAAATCTGAACAGTGATCCATACAAGCAGCAAATTAACTGATTTTCAAAATTTAATTATTGACTACTTCTATGATGGCCTAGTGGCAAGAAGCTGTGCTGCAATCTTAAAGGCACACAGTTCAAATCCACCAACTGCTTCACTGGAGAAGGAATTAAATGCCTCTGAAAACCCAATGGATGGTCAGCCATCGGTCAGCTCAGACTCCATGATACACAACAACAACAACTTCTACAAAGGCTTTTTAATGTCTTAATGCAAAGAAAAGCACAAACAAGTATAATCACAGGCAGTCTTATAACACTGGTTGTAACAGAAGCACAACCTGGTTTTCAGAGCTACCCTAACTATCCTACAGAAACTGGTAACTACAATCTAACAGACCAAGAATTTAGAGATATTCCCCAAAGTTCCTTCCTAAGAATGGGAAAATAGTGGGAAACTGTGCAGTGTTAAAGCGTAACAGGCACTCTGTGAAGCCCCTCATAAAACGGACGATCCCAGAGGACCATACGCTGAGTGAAGGCAATGCACTATTATACAAAGTAAACAAAGGATTTTTCATTCAAAAAGAGATCTTTTTTTAAAAAGTTACTAGAAGTGGGAGTAAAAAAAGGGAGAGTAAAGCAGTTTAGAAACAACCCCTAAGTGGGAATGAGGAGAGAATATGCCAAAAGAACATAAATAGTTCAGAGGAAAATTAAGTGTTTCTTCAGGGCGGGGGGTGGGGGTGGGGGGGATTGAAATAGCATCTGCACCAAAAACAGCCTACCTCACCTATAAACAGCGGCGTGGTTTCCTCCAGAGTCATTTCGTTAGGGTCTGCCCCAGCCTTTAGAAGGATTTGGACAATCTTCCAGTGTCCTTGACTTGCTGCAAGATGTAATGGACAGAAGCCCTCAAAAGTCCTTGTCTTAATGTAGTTTTCGGATGAGTCTATGGAAAAATAAAAAAGATCAGCAAAAATACTGTCCCTTCTTGTGCTTAAAAGATTCACAGAGAGAAAAAAAAAAGATTCACAGAGGAATTGTCTTAAAAATGTACAGCAATTTACAAATGTGGTTTCTCCAAATAAGTTTAAAAATTTCTAGAAAATAAAGAAAAAACTCTACAAGTATTACAGTGTATTCTTTTAATTTTTTTTTATTTATTTGGTATTTCTAACACAAAAACAACTACCTGGTGTTTTTAAGACAATTCTGCCCATGGTATGAATGACCCAAATCATGGCATATTGCTTCATATCCATCTAAAAGTTGCACAATAAAGAAGGAAGACCAAAGAGGAATCGATGTCTTTGAAGTATGGTGTTGGTGACGAGTACTGCATACAAACAGCATTAATAAAGTTCAAGACAGATTTTTAAATTCCTATTATACAATATCAAAGATTCTGAAGCTTTGTCTGACATACTTTGGACATGCTGCAGGGAGGGACCAGTCCCTGGAGAGGGGCATCATGCTTGGGAGGGTGGAGGGACAGCGCAGGAGAGGAACGCCCTCAATGAGATGGACTGATTCAGTGATTGGGGTAATGGGGATGGGTGTGTCAGAGTCAGTGAGATTGGCACAGGATAGAGCAGGGATTAAGGCTGTTGTACATAGGGTCGCTATGAGTCGCAAGAGACTCGACGGCACATAACAATAACAATCATATAATATGGTTAAATTCAACATCCCACTTGGACTCTAGTTTTCAGCAGTAGTTAATTTCTAACATCCTGTTCTCTGGGTAACAGTTGACAGTACTGGTTAACCTCTCTGGTTAGCATTGCTTGTTCCCATGGGTATAGATCCATATTGAACCTGTATTTGGAGTCATATAAATTTGCTGAGCTGGTGTAAATGGATTTGTGTCAGACCATCCAAACCCCAGCCTAAGATGACAATACCACATCCTAGGCAAATCTTACTGCTTGAAATGTAAGGGAGATGTACAAGGTGAGTTACCACTGTTTGAATAGGTCATTGTTTTATAAAAAGTTGTTTAATGGAAACTGTCTTGTTGTTGTTGTTGTTGTGTGCCATCCAGTCATTTGCAACTCATCGCAACCCTATGTACAAGAGCCCTAAACGCCGTTCTATCCTGTGCCAACCTCGCTGTCTCAAACACACTCATTCCCACCACTTCACTCACAGAATCGATCCATCTCATCAAAGTTCTTCCTCTCCTGCGCCGTCCCTCCACTCTCCCACACATGATGTCCCTCTCCAAGGACCAGTCCCTCCTTGCAACATGCCCAAAGGATGTCATACGAAGCTTCAGAATCCTTAACTCCAGGGAACATTCTGGCTTCACCCTCTCCAGGACAAACCTGTTTGTTCTCCTAGCAGTCCATGGTATATTCAACACTCTTCTCCAGCACCACAACTCAAAGGCATCAATTCTCTTTCTATCCTCCCTATTCACTGTCCAACTCTCCGATGCATAGCACGTAATTGCAAAGACTATAACCTGAACCAGGCACACCTTAGTCTCCAGCCTGAAGTCATTGCTCTTCAGAACTCTCCAGAGATCCCTCACAGCTGACTTTTGCAATGCAATTCGTCTCCTGATTTTCTGACCCTGGACCACATGACAAGTAGGAAGGTAGTCTCCAAGTAGGAGAACTAGCTCACTGTTTTCCAGATCTGTGAATAAAGTGTATGTCTGATTCAGTCTCTGTGTGTCGTAAATAGGAGGGGGGGGGGCCCGCAGGATATGTGACTGATGGCTAAGGACCTACTGTTTGTACAGTAACAAATATTCCATTGACCTCCCAAAGAACACACAAATTGGTCCTATAGGAAAGAAATATAGGAAGCTCTGGTGGCCTAGTAGTAAGAAGCTGAGCTGCAATCCCAAAGGTACCCAATTCAAATCCACCAGATGCTTTGCTGGAGAAGGATGGGCAATCTCCTCTCCTGTGGTTACCTGCCTCTAAAAATCCACTGGAGAATGAGTTATGGGTCAGTTCCAACTCGACAGCACTCAACAACAACAATGGGAACTCTAAGTAGGGAACTCCTGAGAGGTAAGGATGATAAAACTTCACCTCACATATTTTGTGCGTGTGGTGAGATGGGGCCGGTGCTTGGGAAAAGCCACTATACTGTAAGGTAGAGGCCATCAAAAGAAAGTAAGACCCTTAGCAAGATGAAATGGTTCAGTGACTGTCAACAAGGGCGTGAGCACCACACAGATTCTGAGGGTGATGCGTGACAGCGCATTTCGGGCAGGACATGGCGACCTGTTGTCCACAGGGTTGCTATGGCTCATGGACACCACTTTACAACATGTTGGGTTTTTAATCTAATTTTTGAGCTGTTGTTTGATTGACTAGTTAGTTGGTTTATACTTAGTAAAAACTGAAAAGACATACAAGATAAAAACAACAAAGAATTTTCAAAATGAGTAAGAAAAGCCTTGCGAGCAGTCTAGATATGCTGCGTCTCTTGCGTGATGATTAGTAAAGTAACGTGGTTCTGGCGAAGAGCAGTCACGACAGTGAGTGTCCAGTACAGAGAAGACAAGGCAGAAGACAGCAGAGATGAAGGGAAGACAGCGTATACAGAGGTCATGTAGAGCAGGGGTGCAACATCCAAGCTGAGAAACTTTCTTTTGGAAAGACAGACATCCTCTTCTACTGAGAAAGACATTTTTAAAAAGATCAGATTTAATACTGGCTATTTAAAATATTATACTTTACAAAACAAAGAGTCAGTATTTGTGCACCCACCACAAACAAAAATAAAACCAACAGGAGAGGGAATAATAGAATGGAACGCAGACTGTGACCAAAGAATCAAATGAAGTGACAAAGGTATGACACAGGTGCACTAAGGAGTGGGGGGAAGAGATCCTGTCCTTTACATTAACTGTGAAAAATGATGTTCTGACTAGAAACTCTAAGACTTGCATATGCAATCTCTAAAACCAAGATATGTGGCATGATGAAACAGCTGCCCCAGATCCAAACAAAACTCCATTTTTAATCAAACTGTACCTTGAACTAAAATGTCTGCTTCTGCACTGAAGAGACAACTCAACTTCTAGTAAGACTTCAAACTGTTTTGTTACCCAAAAGGAGAGACTTAGCTTGTGAACAGATCATGTGGGAAGCATGGCTCTATGAGGAGGAACATGACATCAGGATAGGAGGGAGACTCATCGACAACTTACGTTGCGCAGATGACACAATCTTGCTTGCTGAAACTGAAGAAGACCTGAAGCACTTGCTGCAGAAAGTCAAGGACTGTCATCTTCAATATGCATTGAAGCGCAACATCAAGAATACAAAGATT